AAAAAAAAAAAAAAAAAAAAAGAGGGATTGTTTTGACAAAAAAATATTCTAGAATAAAAAAGTAATAAAGATCCAATTTTTATGCGCCAAAATTACTGTGTTGATGAATAAGAATCATGTGACCTATTCACCAACGCTTCTCTCTCTCCTGCTTTTACAACCATTTCAACCACCAAATACCTCACAAACTTTGGATTTTTTTTACTCTATTTCTATATTAAAAAAGTATATAATTTTTGTAGTCTCCAAAGTTTTCTTGGATAGTATTCTGATGTTAGGATGGCTTCAAGATTCATCAAGTGCGTAACTGTTGGTGATGGGGCTGTTGGCAAGACTTGTATGCTCATTTGCTACACCAGTAACAAATTCCCCACAGTCAGTCTCCTAACCCTTTGTTTTTTTTTTTTTCATCTTTTAAAGAAAAGATTTGTTGTTTTCTTGGACAATTTGGGTTTATCTGTTTATAATTTATGTAAACAGTTAGTTTGTATGATGCCTTCTTGGCCAATTTCATCGAATACCTAGTGCAATCATGCAGTTCTTTTCCATTTTATAGTCGTCCTTGGGCATCTGGATTTTGCAGCTTTTCTCTGTTTTCTCTTGGTTTTGTAGGTAGGGTATTTTGCTTTTATATGTTTCTGGGTTTTTTTTGCCTTTTCGTTTAGCAGTATCCTCCTTGGACTCTGCAATTTGTGTTTATCTCCCTCGGATGTTTCCTTATGTGCTTTTGTACATTTATGGCCTGTTTGGTAGCACGGATTAGACAGTATAGTGGAAGAAAAGAGTAATGTTAGGGGTACATCACCATTCACACAAAGGTTCACATAATAACACGTGGCAGCTGATCCAACCCTTAATTCAAATTTCATACTTACACATCAATAAGTGGATGACTGCCACATCTACATTATGTGAACCATTATGTCATTGGTAATGTACCTCTAGCATTTTTCGGAAGAAAAAGAGTCCTGTTTACCAAACATTTACTAAATGATTAGTATTTTATTTTTTGCAACTTCAGGACTATGTACCAACAGTGTTTGATAACTTCAGTGCAAATGTGGTAGTTGAAGGAACTACAGTTAACTTGGGGCTTTGGGACACAGCTGGTGAGCTTATTCTCACTATTGAAATCAGTTTATTTTCTAATTGATATTTCACTGCTATTTTCTAATGTAAGAATGAAATTCTCCTAACAATTATATTCTTCCCAGTAAAAAGTTCCCTTCTCTGAATCAAATTTATGGTTTTTTGGTGTTGTGATTCCATCT